CCGACCATTTTTCAGCACCTGGAGCAGTACAATGAAGCGACCATTTTCCAGCATCTAAAGCGGTACAATGAACCGACTCTTTTCCATTTCATGCAGTGGTACAAGGGGCCGTATATTTATCAGCATTTGGAACATCACAATGAACCGACCATTCTTCAACATCTGGTGCGGTACACTGAACCGCTCATTTTCAACCTCTGGAAGAGCCCAATGAACCTACCATTTTCCTACATCTGGAGCAGTACAAAGGACCGAACGTTTTCCAGTATCTGGTGCAGCACAAGCAACCGACCATTTTCCAGTTCCCAGAGTGGTAGAATGAACCGACCATTTTCCTGTATCTGGAATGTACCGCTGCAGATACTGTAAAACTAGAAAGTAAGACAGGAAGTCTCTGGTTTGTGCGAGGACGCTACCTATTGCTTGGAAAATAAGACAGCAAGCCTGATTTTTTCAGAGATTTGGCAATGTAAATTAGCCTAACCAACTCGTATCTCTATGCTATTTCATAATGACCTGGTCTAGATCTGTTTTGTTTCGAGCTGCTGTTTTTTTACGAATGTATTTTGAGCGCCAAGCGAGATATTAGTGTATTGGCATTTTCTAAATATATACCCGTAAAGTTTATAATGTTGGCATTTTGTATTATCATTTGGTTATTTGATACCAAGGAAATTAATTTAATTAATAGCGACATAGAAGTTTCGAAATCTAACCTGTTTAGTTGTACCGTCAAAGTAATTTTGCAATTGCATTGGCTATATATTCCGCATGAGTAATCACTGATTGTTATTCGTACAATTGATTCTGTTGTCGCATGTAAAAAAGATTTTTCAATGCAACCCTGCTTGTTCGTCTGCGGTTCTCACAAATTTAAGATATTAAAATATTTCTCGATACCCTAATCATGTTTAAATCTTTCTATAATTGCAATTATTTTTAGCCTATTTCGATTTTATAAAAATCGATATTGCTTTCAATCGGAAAGAATCATTTTTACAATGACTTATATATATATATATATATATATATATATATATATATATATATATATATACAGAGAGAGAGAGAGAGAGAGAGAGATGTATACAGACTTCAGAAAAGGAAAAACTTGTCATTCGCATTTTTATCAAATTGCGATAACCCTGTTTACTATGGGGCACCTTAAAGGATGTTGTCTATCGCAGAAAACAGACTACATTCTCGGGTCGTAGACAAGAAATTGCAAATCCATGTGCAGCAATCACACTGGACACTTTGGCCAACGTTTCCCAAGCCGTAGTCCGCCGTACTAATAAATGTCTGGAAGCTAAGGTCACTATTTTGAGCATCTCTTGTGATTATGTAGTCCAATGCTAACTTATATGAATCTCCTGATGTCTGAATAAATTTATTATTTCAATATCTAAACAAGTTTTTTCCTTTTCTGAATTGTGTATACATTTTTGGCGGACTCTCTCAACACTCAGAGGCGACAGAATGTTTCATGCTAGACGCAATCGTCAGGAGGCCTGACGATTGCGTCTAGCATGAAAACAGCCTGTCGCCTCTGAGTGTTGACTTCAATGTTCACTTTTATATTTATATATATATATATGTATATATATATATATATATATATGTGTGTGTGTGTGTATGTGTGTGTGTGTGTGAGAGAGAGAGAGAGAGAGAGAGAGAGAGAGAGAGAGAAAGAGGAGAATTCCAGAAGATTTGAGATTTTTTAGCAGAGGCAGTTATAACAGTCCTAGATCATTGTAATTTTTGTATATCATGATTATGCCTCTAATAAACTGATCTGCCAACTTTTGCTATTCCAAATTGAAGAAGACGGCTGTAACAGTTGTTTGAAGACACCCTACTAAATACTAAAAGCTAAACATAGCTGATTAGTTTACAGAATGAAGCCAGGACATGAAAATAATTTGGAAGTTCGCTCTGCATTAAAGTTTAGTGTTGACAGCAATGGGCATTAAAACTGTCCCTCACTCTCCCCACAGTCCAGACCTTGCTCCCTTTGACTTTTGTCTGTTCCCCAAGGTGAAAGAGGACCTCAGGGATATGCGTTTTGGAGATATATAGATGATGTTGGCTGTGACAAGTGTCCTGGACACGTTCATTTTGGGTGAATTTCATGGGGGCATTCACGAAGTAACTGGAATGCTACAAGTGCATTGAAGCCAACAAATGCATTTGGAGATTAGAGTGTTGAGCTCCTTTAATGTAGTGTATTGTTAAATAGGATTTTACTTACTGGCATATGTTAAGTTAAAGAGAAATAAAGAAAGAGACAAGCAAAAATTGACTACTGATCACGTATCGTAGGACAACACAACACAATGAAACATTTAAATTAATAAATGTCTCTCCTGAACAAGTCTCAAAACTTCTGGAATATATACCACAAAAATCCAAAATGCTGGCCTGCCAAGTGACTAAGACTCACAAAAAGAAAAAAAAAAGAAAAAAAAATATACTAACAACGAATATAGCAAAAAACAAGAAGAAAACGGAAAATGAAACCAGAAAAATAAAAGACCAAAAGGCAGACACCTACCTAAACAGTAACCAAGAGTGCTCAATGTCTAGGTTATTAAGACAGATCAAGAACGCTTCACACCCGAGAAAGATTGATTGATTGATTCGTTTTCTCCGGTTTGTCAACCGATCGCAGCTTATTTAAAGCCAGAGAATATTTTTAGATCGTTAGAATTTTTTTAGATAATAATGATTTAGTGATACAAGTTTTACTAATTAACCCATATCTGCGGGGAGAAGAGGAGGATCCATACCTTTCCAAAGAGTATTTGTGCGTAAGTGAATATAACGAACCCAACTGGAATTATAACTTGGCTAGACCATTCTTATTCCACTGCACATGTCACGGGATATTGTCGAGTTCATATTTTTATTTAGTGCTGTTCAGTTATTGCCCCGTCTCTACTGAGTTCAAGTACACATTTCCTGACCCAGAGATTGAACTCAAAATCACTACGTCGCCAAATTCATTGTCCCGTAGAACAGCCTACGCCTGTAGATTAAATAAATCAGAATTTCCTGTAGGATAACCAGATCGAAATACACCTGGTGAAGGCCGGAGGGCACAACGGTTGAAACTTTGTGATAATAACAACAAAGATGAGGACAGTAAATTGAATATAAATAGGGTAAATAATGATAATTCCTCATCACAGAAATTCAGACAGAAAGCAGTCAGGTGATAAAAACAAAGATGAGGACAATAATCTGAATATGGTGTAAATAATGATAACTCCTCATCTCAGGAATTTAGGCAGAATAATTCTTGCTTAGTTGCGAGTAATTATTGTATTAGCAATTTGTATTTTAGAATAACAATGACTTTTCAAGATACAATTTCTACTATTTAAACCATAGCTGGGAAAGAAAAGAGATTCATACCTTTCCCAAGAATATTTGCGCGTGAGAGGTTATAGGGAGGTGATCAGAGTAAGTGAGTAACCCTCGGAATGTTTGGAAGGATTAAAGAAACCAGATAAACGGTATGTCAGATATGTCGAATTACGAGGTAAGTACGTGGCCGAATGATTATAGCGTTCGTTTCTGACCATGAGACCTGGGTTCGAATCTCACCATAGTTGATTTGTCAGGAAGATGACTTCTTGATGTTATCAGTTTGGAGGAGACGATCCCAGGGTGCGGCAACTTTGAAAAGAGCCTGAAAACCATACCACGGATTGACCTAAGCTTTGTGAGTGAAACTGGTTACACGGAATCCTTGAGAGCAATCTAACACAAAGTCACATGTCATCGTGACCGAGGGTTTGAACGTGCTAGTCTTGTTCAGATTGTTGATCACGCTGGATAATGTACTCTCACAGCATATTTGCAGTATAAACCACAAGTGTGGTCTGTGGGTGTTGTACACACACAAATGTGCCTGAGTAGGCGTCTGCAATGGGGATTAGCTAGCCGCCCTAGTAAACTGGCATCCTCGGATTTGACTGGCTGCATTTAAATTTACGTGAAATAATTTTTGCTGCTCGGGGTCATTTCTGTCATAGTCGTGCCAAAAAATTTTACCACACCTCGAATTTACATTTACCCGCAAATACCCTTGGGAAAGGTATGAATCCATATATTCTTCCCCAGTTAAAGGTTAAATAGTAGAACTTATATTTAGAAAAACCATTGCTATCTCCAAAAAAATTATTCATATAATCCAAAATGGATGGCATCTTTCGCTATCCCAATATGGCTTCGGATTTCGGTGTTACATTTTCTGTCATCTCTTAAACTATTTCCCAAATATTTAAACTTTTGGGTTTCCTTGATTTTAACATCTCTAGTTCGTAGCTCACATCGTGGCTTTTCCCCTTGCTGTTTTTTACAATTGATGATTAGTCTTTTCTTCACGCTTTCTTTTACTACATTGTGTGGGAGTACCACCAGCTTTATTTCGCCGTCTGCCGTCAACACGGTGTAATCTGCATATCTTACGTTGTTGATATTGCCCTTCCAGTAAAAATCCTTTTACGAATTCTAGGTCCCTTCATCTTTTTCTATATGCCACGTCCCTTCAAGGTGCTGGCGATAATGGCTCTTCACAATTTCCTGTCCCTTGCAGCTCCTAGTTAATTTTGTCTTTTTGCCGTCTCTCCCAAAACCTAGTCCGCCATCTATTAACTCATGTTCGCCAGGTATGTTATATGTCGCTTTCTTCTGTCTCTCTTACCGTCAATCTGCCTTGTGGGTATCAGATTTCCCAGGCTCTCTTTCCTTATTATGTACCCAAGAAATTTCCTGATGTTAAATAGAAGTGTCCTTTTTTGTCACCATTGCCTCTAGGACTTAGTCGTTGGGTCCATGGTATTCTCACCATCCCTCTGTGGAATTTCATTTCTATTACTTCAAGTCTCTGTGAAGAGATTGTTCAACATTCACTGCCAAGAAGAGTGATATTACATAACAGTTCAGTACACTTTTCTTTGTTTCTAACGATATTTTTCTGTTTCTTAATAGGCTTACGGCCATATCACGTTGAAATATCAGTTCTCGTTAGATCATCGAAGTTAAGTAACGTTGAACCTGATCAATACGAAGCTGGGTGACCGTTGGGGAATACCAGGTTCTGTAAGCTTGGATGTGCGGGTGGTGTAATGAATAAATGCACGGAATGAAAAATCGGGGAGCCGAGTTCGAATTCCAGTCGGATTCATTATATTCACTCACAAATATTCTAGGGAAAGATATGAATCCACCTTTTCTCCTCCAGGCTATGGGTTAAATAGTAAAAAAATATTCTTACAATCTAAAAATGTTTCGGCTTTAAATAATCTCAAAAAGGTTGATAAGTCGTAAAAACAAATCTATCAATCATGTTTTTTGATACTTTGCTCAGCTTTCGGAAGGCATCTTTGGCTATTTCAATGCGCCTATGGATTTCAGTGTCGCACTTTCTGTCTTCTTAGGGCTACCCCGCTGTAAAGGTTAAATAAATCCCATGAGAAAACGCATCCTTATCTTTCGCCGCTTTCTATTTTTGAGCAATTCATTTTCTATTCGGATGCAGAAATAGTGGCATATTTTAAACTACTTTCTGTTTCTTTATAGATCTGCAAATTTTGTAATTATAGTTTGTTATATACCAAATATGTACTACTTAAAAGATCATTTAAGTGTTCTATATGCCTCGTGAAATCCGCTTAAAAAGAATGAAAAGTTTAGCAAGTAGCCATATTACTGAGAAAAATAATTTACAACGTCGGAAAAGATGTCTACCCATGCGTGACAAGTAACAGTGGGTGACATGTTACTGTTGAATGTCGCCATTTTCCTTCTTTTTTTTTCCATTTTTCTTTACGCCTTGCAATTGCAGCCGATTGCAGCATGCCAAGACAAATACCCAGTATGAACCGAGTTGGGAAGTCGGGAGATTCTCGCTGGGTGATATCCGAGTACTTTTCGCAGGAAGGGCAAGATAAAAAGAGCAAGGGTAAAATGATTTTAAAGTGGTTGGAAAGAGATAAGGGAAAAAGAATAAATGGTGAGCAAAACGGACAATGCAGTTATCAAGCTAGGTGTAGTCGCGGGGGGTGGGGGGTCGTCGGACGTAAAAGAGGTAAATCGGTGTGGGGAGAATGAGAAGAGAAAGATTTTAAAAATAAAAAGAAAAAATAGTAGGCAAAATAGGTGCGTCGACATAAACAGAATTTAGTAGTGTCTTGACAATGAACATAAAATCTATTTATATGGGGGCAGAAAAAAGCGGGGAGTTAAATCGTCTTCCTCCACCGAAAAGGGCGATAAATGTGAAAATCGCTTCAGCCATGTGATCAGATGGAATGATTCTTGGCCACCCCGCCATGAAGTAAAAGTATCGTAGAATGGATAGTTTTCTTTCTTTCATTCAACTTTCTCCTTCCCCATGTTCAGATTTTTTTATAATGTTCACTCAATACAAAACCCAAGTTCCACTCCTCAAGGTAGAGTGTTACTGTGTGGTGTTGTATGAACATAAGAAAAAGCAAGAAGTCAAGTTCATAAGGTTATGTAGGAAAAATAACGGTTAACCCTAGACTTGAAGCGACCAATATTGTAGTGACCGGGAAGACATCCTGCCGGGAGTCTGTTCCACAAAGCAGCAGTTGAAAGTATCAGAAAGTATCCAGCTATTTTTAATATCGCGAGAACCAGTCTTTGTTTTTCTACTAACATACACCCAATACAAGTCTTGAAAACCACTCAAGGTAGATAGTTACAATTAAAATGAATAATATGAATGAGGTGTGTGAAATGTAAATGATTTTGGAGTAGTTTTGGTTTGTTTAGCGGCATATCAACTCGTTATGGGTCATTAATGTCAAATTTAATTTTCTTGTGAGCATTCGTAATTCCTTTTGGAAAAATGTATTGCTGGCAATGTTTTTTTTGTTTGTTTTTTAATGTATTGCTGCTAATTTTTTTATTTACATTGTTCGAACGGTTGTCTTAATCTTTATCGCCATATTTTAAAAGATATTAATAATTTTTATCAGAGTTCATAGTGCAATTTTTGTTGTTGTTATTGCTTTCCTCTAGCACTCCGTATTACTGGTTCACATATTGTATTCATTTCTACGCTTGACCGGCTTAGGAGATTTTTGTGGCCTAGCATATGTGCTGGTTCCTTCAGTTTTCGTATTTTCCTGCGATGTTCTCTATCTATTATTTCAGCCTCATCCCACAGGAGGCGGAGATCTCCCTCCTTCCATTCCTACGTCTTATTTTTCTATTTCCCCTCGTGTTACGGCTTTACGCTGTTCTTGCAGTCTTACCTTAACATTCATACTCTGGTATTCCTGTGGATAAAGAGCGTTGGTTGGATCCAGTGACTTGACCCAAAGAGTTGTGAGTTCAATACCTGGCTACTGAAATGGTGAACAAAAATTTTCGAGAACTGAGTTAAAGGAAGATAACTGAGACATCCGGAAGAGGCATGGCACGTGGAACTAGAACAATCTACTCCGGTGAACGAAATAAAGGGTTCACTTCGAAATTCCGATCATCTGACGAAGGCCGGTGAGAACAACGGCCGAAACTTCGTGAATATGGCAATAAAGATGAGAACAACAGCCCGAACAATGTAAATAATTACAATACCTCATCTCAGAAATATAGGCAGGTAATTTTTTTTACTATGAAATAGTATTCTGATATTTTTACTATAAAATAGTATTCTTATACTTTCATAGTGTTTGGTGGTTAACTATTCGTCCGTAGCCGGGACCCATTTTCTTGTAAGCTTTCTTTGGGGGCGGGGAGATTGTATTGCTGGTAACTTTTTCTAGCGTATTATTATATTTTCATGTTTTGACCCCAGTTTGGGGGTTCACTATTTTCCCATAGCTGGGACCCTAATAGGTGCTACCACCCTGGTTATATGTAAGAAGGGAAGTGCAGATAAGTGATTTACTAAGATGTGGTACAAGGCCGCAAGTATGAAGGATCCAGTGAGGATCGAACACACTACTCAGTCATAATGGATCTAGCACAACAAGTTTGTTAACTATTACACCACATCGAAGTACTCTCGGAAGTGAATATCATGAATTGTTCTCTCACCTTAATAGCTTTCTTTTCTCATATTCTCTAATACTCAGTAAACCCCCACCTTGCGTCTTAGTGGCTTTATTACCTTGCTTGGGATGGAATGATTAAATAAAGTTTAAAAAATTTAGATAGGGGAATACTTTAAAAAGGACTCAAATACCATTACTCTAGAGAGGCTATTTTTTATAATATTAAATATTTCTAAAAAGAAGGGTCAGCGGACACGTCCTGACAGCAATGATTATATACCAAATTAACTTTGTACTCAGGTGCGCGTGTGTTGGCTTCTATGTTAAAATAGCCTTCTACCGTATTGAAATATTGTGGGTGGATAGATACATGTCTTCTAAGATTAAGTCTTTTCTTCATATTATTGGTTGCTTTAAATTACAGTTTTCTAGGTCGAATTCTCTACGGCCGTTGAAGTCGGTAGCAAAAAGTAAAAATAAAGACGTAAACCCAACGAAACTTGAACGTGTGTCCTATATCCCTGGATCTCGTCTTTTATGGACGTCACCTTAATAAATTCAGTCACGAAAGTTTAAATCTAGACAGGTCAAAATACCTACAATATTATCGTCACCGCACTCATCTAATTCTTAACTTCAGTCACAAAACCACAAATGTAAATCCCCTAAAGAGAATCGAACTCACGGGAGCAACGATAGTCTATTAAACAAGCCTACTAATAAATCATTATGCTACAATGAGGCGTCCTCTTCCTATCTTTATACCTTAGTAAACTTGGCTGAAATGTGTCTTTCAAAAGCTAAGCAAAGTATTAAGAAATAGGAAAATTTCGTTAGAAACAAAGAAACGAGTGTAATATCAGTCCTTCTATCTGGTAGTGAACACTGGACAATTTCTTCACGGGTGAAAAGAAGACTTTAGGCAAAGGAGATGTAGTCCTACAGAAGGATGCTGAGAATACCATGGGCGAAGCATATGAGCAACAAGGAAGTTTTAAGGAAAATGAAAACAAAAAAGTCTCTTATACTTATGATCAAAAAGAGACTGTTGAAATTTCGGGGGCACATAATGAGGAAAGAGTGCTTAGAGAATTTGACACTGACTGGACACATTTAAGACGAGAGGGAAACAGTGAACAACCTACATAACCAGCTTGTGTAAACGGATGGTAGAACAGGCACACATAATGAGAAAAGGGGGATTGGAGAATTCGACACTCACAGGACACATTTTAGGCAAGGGGGATAGCGGGAAACAGTGAATAACCTACATACTCCCAAATAGGTTGCCATTTCTTTCTGCGGTAGATCTATGGAATCCGGTCTGTCCTAATATTTAGTAGCTGGGGGAGAAGAGGATTCATACCTTTCCCAAGGGTATTAGCACGTAAGTGAATATAATGGATGCGAGTGGAATTAGAACTCCGATTCCTCAATCCGAGCCGCTATCCATTACTCCACCGTGCCTCCTCAATAGGAGACAACTCAACTGTTTTTCTCAAAATGCCATGACGATTCACAGATAAAAAGAGAAAAGAAATCTGCAGAGAATGATAATCTCCTACATGATTTTTTCTTTACAGAACTTTTAATTCCGTTTCTTCTTCTTTTCTTTTTTGTTGTTTTCTTTCATTTTCCTGTATACTTTTTTCTTTCATACTGTCTCTTATCTTAGAAGGACCCATATTTTATATTCTTTTGTTCTATTTTTCATTTGTTTCTATTTAATGATCTTTTTCGTTCCCTATTTTCTTCCTGTCTTTATCTCAAGTAATAGTGGGCGAAGAAAGAAAGAATGATCACAAAAAGAAATAAATTAGTAGACTTAGAAAGAATTACTTGTCTTGAAAGAGACAGAAAAGAGGTTATGGTAGGTAGGTAGGTAGGTAGGTAGGTAGGTAGGTAGGTAGAAAGAAAGAAAGAAAGAAAGAAAGAAAGAAAGAAAGAAAGAAAGAAAGAAAGAAAGAAAGAAAAGGCTGTGATGGTAAAACGAAAGAAAGAAAGAAATTTAAGCCAATCAGCTGAGCCGGTCTATCATCAAATCTCTGCTGAACTGTGTCGAAGGAACTCTCTTAAAA